AGCTTCAACTACTTAACTCCCAAATACTACTCTACTGTACATCAGAGTGACCCTTCAGCTTCAGCTACTTAACTCCCAAATACTACTCTACTGTGGTTTGCCATTTCCATTGGTTCAATTGTACCCAGCAAGTCAAATCAACTGACATATACAATGATCACTAAAGAGTTTTGCAGGAGAGAATGACAACTTCTCTCTGCTTCTCCAGTATGTGGGGCTGTGGACTCCATTATAATAGATAACTGCTGCACACATGATCGGTTCCCTCAGCAGGTTGTGTGCTGTGGACCTTGAGTGTCTCCAGGTCCGGTCTCTCGTGGGTCACCACCTGTCCCAGCAGCTGCTCCTCCAGACCTATAGGGGTCACTGTGAAGTTGGCGAGGCTGGTCTGGGCCTGCAGCTCCGGGGGGGAAGAGGGGTGAGCTGGAGGATGAGCTAAAAGCTGCTGTTATACTCACACTCCTTACCCCCCAGCCAAATGTACCTGTGTCAGAGCAGGATGCACAGTGATGGTATTGTATGATTCATTTGACCTGATTATCATGTACAGTACATAGCATTTATACACCAAGATAGATACAATACCTGCATTCATAATCCTGTATAATATACTGTATAACTTGTGATATTATCATTCTATTACTCATGTGTATTGCAGTTAATTACACTAGCCCACTTGATCTTTAAAGGGATACTTCGGGATTTTGGCAATAAGGTCCTCCTCAGAGTCGGATGAACTCATGGATACCATTTTTATGTCTCTGTGTGCAGTTTCAAGGAAGTTGCTAACTAGTGCTAGCGCAATTGCTAAAAAGTCTATGGGTATCTGCTAGCATGCTAGTAGATACCCATAGTCTTCCAGTCATTGCGCTAACGCTAGTTAGCATTAGCTCACAAAACTACCTATAACTTCCTTCATACTGGACACAGAGACATACAAAAGGTATCCACGAGCTCATATGACTCTGGGGAAGTAGATAAAGGGCATCATTGCTAAAATCCCGAAGTGTCCCTTTAAACCAGAAGCCCTCTGGTCAGAAATCCTCATGCTACTCCAAACTTTGAATGGTTTAAAATGTTAACCACAGGAAATAATCTAAAATAAATCCAAGAGATAATCTATAGTCTCCCAAAGCAGCCGATACAGTATTTATCTGTTCCTGCATTTCAATTCAATTAGCAGAGGCTCGACAAACCCGACCCGGTGGCTTTTCATTTTTCACTAATTACCCTTCCCATGTCAGGCAACGGCCCCCATTTTTTAGGGCCCAGGTTTCCCATGGCCCGGATCTTGTTACACTCTATATCTTCACAAGCAAAAAATTAATGTACTATTGATAGAACCATTAATCCACCAAATTAAAGTCCCGGGCTGATGGATTGGCTTGTAGTCCTCCGTCAGCCATGAAAGGAAATAATTAGTATTCATTACTTCACACTCTACAACATTCCAATTATTAATGAACTTCAGCTGTGGAGCCCCACCGTATCCATCATGGCCACCACAGCAGGTTGTATTAATCACAAGCAGAAACAAGCGCGGGTCATCTACAGCGGATTAACTTATAATCAGATTTACCACAGGGATGAATTGTCACGGGTCGACAGACAGCAGCAGCACTGTATCTGGTAGGAGTTCAATACATGTCCAGTTTCAGATGTTCAATAATATTCACACACTTTGGTTTCACAGGGAAAGGAAGGAACAAGAAAGATGTGTGTCGGTGGTTTGAGAACAGGAGGTTGATTTATAGTATTTTCATTTTTCCGTTCGCACCGTAGTTACTTCTTGTTACATTGTGATATGTTGTTCATTTAGAGGATTGAACTCAGATAATCATAAAACAACGGTGGTGTTGAGGTGAATTAATACGCTTGGGGATTGGATTATTTGCTTCATTGGTTCAAAGGGACTCAGTGTAATAGATTGAAATCTATCCACAATTTTTTTTTTTCACATCATAGTGGATTCATCATCTTCTTTCCATAACATACGCTACTGCAAATGTCCAAATCAACTACAAACTATAGGCTTATGTAGCCTAATTATAGGCCTATGTAGCCTAATGATAAGCCTATGTAGCCTAATTATATGCCTATGTAGCCTAATGATATGCCTATGTAACCTAATGATAAGCCTATGTAGCCTAATGATATGCCTATGTAGCCTAATGATATGCCTGTGTAGCCTAATGATATACCTGTGTAGCCTAATGATATGCCTGTGTAGCCTAATGATATGCCTATGTAGCCTAATGATATGACTATGTAGCCTAATGATATGCCTGTGTAGCCTAATGATATGCCTGTGTAGCCTAATGACATGCCTATGTAGCCTAATGACATGCCTATGTAGCCTAATGATAGGCCTATGTAGCCTAATGATAAGCCTATGCAGCCTAATGATGTGTATTGGAGATTGTTCTGGATATACTCCTGACCAAGGAGCTGTTGAGTGTGATGCTGGTGGTGTTGTGTTGCTCTCAGAAAGGGAAAGGCAAAAGTCCCTTACCCACAAGAGAGGCTGGCTGCCCACTATTCAGGGCTAACCACTGCAGAATAACTGTTCAATATTCACCACATAAAGACTATGAGCAGGCAAACGAACATCTATCATCAGGCGTGAGAGGGTCGATCGATACGTCTGCTTCAGGGATTCAGAACACGCAATACAAATTCATCTATAATCTAAAGAGTAGGGAGCAATCATATCCCACTCAGTCATGTCCCTGTAGCTGTCCACCGCTCAGTGAGACTCTAGCGTCAGTCAGGCAAATCCTCTGGCATTGTTTGTGTCCCAAATGGCACCCTAGTCCCTACAGTAAGGGAAAAAAGTATTTGATCCCCTGCTGATTTTGTATGTTTGCCCACTGACAAAGAAATTATCAGTCTATAATTTTAATGGTAGGTTTATTTGAACAGTGAGAGACAGAACAACAACAATAAAATCCATAAAAACGCATGTCAAAAATGTTATAAATTGATTAGCATTTTAATGAGGGAAATAAGTATTTGACCCCCTCTCAATCAGAAAGATTTCTGGCTCCCAGGTGTCTTTTATACAGGTAACGAGCTGAGATTAGGAGCACACTCTTAAAGGGAGTGCTCCTAATCTCAGTTTGTTACCTGTATAAAAGACACCTGTCCACAGAAGCAATCAATCAATCAGATTCCAAACTCTCCACCATGGTCAAGACCAAAGAGCTCTCCAAGGATGTCAGGGACAAGATTGTAGACCTACACAAGGCTGGAATGGGCTACAAGACCATCGCCAAGCAGCTTGGTGAGAAGGTGACAACAGTTGGTGCGATTATTCGCAAATGGAAGAAACACAAAAGAACTGTCAATCTCCCTCGGCCTGGGGCTCCATGCAAGATCTCACCTCGTGGAGTTGCAATGATCATGAGAACAGTGGGGAATCAGCCCAGAACTACACGGGAGGATCTTGGCAATGATCTCAAGGCAGCTGGGACCATAGTCACCAAGAAAACAATTGTTAACACACTACGCTGTGAAGGACTGAAATCCTGCAGCGCCCGCAAGGACCCCCTGCTCAAGAAAGCACATATACAGGCCCGTCTGAAGTTTTCCAATGAACATCTGAATGATTCAGAGGAGAACTGGGTGAAAGTGTTGTGGTCAGATGAGACCAAAATCGAGCTCTTTGGCATCAACTCAACTCGCCGTGTTTGGAGGAGGAGGAATGCTGCCTATGACCCCAAGAACACCATCCCCACCGTCAAACATGGAGGTGGAAACATTATGCTTTGGGGGTGTTTTTCTGCTAAGGAGACAGGACAACTTCACCGCATCAAAGGGACGATGGGACGGGGCCATGTACCGTCAAATCTTGGGTGAGAACCTCCTTCCCTCAGCCAGGCCATTGAAAATGGGTCGTGGATGGGTATTCCAGCATGACAATGATCCAAAACACACGGCCAAGGCAACAAAGGAGTGGCTCAAGAAGAGGCACATTAAGGTCCTGGAGTGGCCTAGCCAGTCTCCAGACCTTAATCCCATAGAAAATATGTGGAGGGAGCTGAAGGTTCGAGTTGCCAAACGTCAGCCTCGAAACCTTAATGACTTGGAGAAGATCTGCAAAGAGGAGTGGTACAAAATCCCTCCTGAGATGTGTGCAAACCTGGTGGCCAACTACAAGAAACGTCTGACCTCTGTGATTGCCAACAAGGGTTTTTCCACCAAGTACTAAGTCATGTTTTGCAGAGGGGTCTTATTTCCCTCATTTAAAATGCAAATCAATTTATAAAATTTTTGACATGCGTTTTTCTGGATTTTGTTGTTGTTATTCTGTCACTGTTCAAATAAACCTACCATTAAAATTATAGACTGATCATGTCTTTGTCAGTGGGCAAACATACAAAATCAGCAGGGGATCAAATACTTTTTTCCCTCACTGTATCTAGTGCACTACTTTTGACCAGGGCCCATAGGGTTGTGCACTATATAGGAAATAGGGTTCGCAGCCATTCGGGATCGCAGACATTGTCTAATACTGTCCCACAGGCCCATATTTAGACACATTGGGATAGTATTATTATTGACTTGTATATCAAAAGGGATATAAAACCATGGATCGATTAGTCATGTGTAGACAAGACTAGTTGCAGGCTATTAGCACAACTCTAGAATAAATAGCTTTAGCAAAGAAAGCAAATTGTGTACAGTATGGTAATTGCATAGGGCAACTGTGGCTTAAAGACAAAAAGCCTCACGATTTGTCTCCTGCAAGGCCAGTTTCCTGAACACAGATTAAGGCTAATCCTAGACTAAAAAGGACTTTCAATGGAAATTCTCAGTTGAAAGTGCTTTTTAGTCCAGTACAAGGGTTAATCTGTCTGGGAAACCGCCCCACCTAGAGCCAGTAGATCTGTATAGGAACAGGTAAACCAAGGACCATTGTCACTACTTGCCTTCCTTCCTTGATGGTGTTTCTCCCCAGTTGTGGCTCCAGGACTGGGTCAACTCTCTCCTGTAGGTTCTCAATCAGAACAGTCTCTGGTGTTTCTCCCCAGGAGTGGCTCCAGGAATGGGTCAACTCTCTCCTGTAGGTTCTCAATCAGAACAGTCTCTCCACAGGCCAGGGCTCGCTCTACCACATCCAAATACCTGTAGGGAATGAAGATGGTAACACTTTATAGGAAGTACATACGAATAATGCTTTATAACATCCTGTATAATGACTTATAATACACTTACAATTGTATTATGAAGCATTATAAAGGATGTTATAAAGCATTAAACGTACAGTAAGTATTTCATATAAAGTGTTACCAGAATGATTCACTAGAATCTACTTTTTTACATTGTGTAACTGGCAAGCCCATGGACACCTATGTAGTTGATGATTAGTAGTGACCAGGGATTAGCCTGGTCCCATCCTGAATCTACTGTCCAGACACCATATTCTATGGTTATCATACCCTACTGTATATGTTTGGCTAAAGCACAAACAGACTGGACCACTTGGACAGACACTGTCCAGTGATACAAAACAACCCCTGGTGACCATCAATGTTCCAAGTCCAACTTGCTTCCCTTCCTTTTTCACATCCCCTCTGAAATCTCCACTATCATTGATGAAATCCGTCAAAACAACGCCCTCCCTCTCTCACCCCATCTGGTGGAGCTGCTCCACCCTGAGCTCTGGCCCACAGTGCCTGCGGAGCCACTTGATGCCTTGCCGCTGGGGTGTCGATCATGAGTGGCCAGCGCTCGCCGGTGGTCAGGATGGCAGCATCCTCTGTGGACATCCTATCGTTTGGCAGGCCCTGGTTGTGCCAGGCAGCCACGGCGGGGTCGTCTGTAAGCATGAGGACAGGGTCCAGGCCGTCTGTCAGGGGGATTTGGACCTGGAACACACGGAAAGACAGACAGATGGCACCCTGTTCACTTTATAGTGCACTACATAAGGAATAGGGTGCCATTTGGAAGCGACAGCAGTGAGGCGGTGATGTCACTCGGTTGGCTGTGTGTGGGGTACAGACTGTTAGAGAGAGAGGTAACAGTGTTTCACCAAGATTCATTTCCAGGCGGGTTATCCCTAAATTAACATCCAAACTCAAAATGTTCAAATAAAATCAATTAAAGACCATGAATAAAGACAGTTTAGGACATATCTAAACAATAAAGGAAAAAGGAGAAGCTTTATACTGCACTGCTGGTCAAAAGTAGTGCACTACATAGGGAATAGGGTGCCATTTGGGATCTTGCCCGTTGTGACTGTACGAAGGCTATCCAGGCTTCGTAGAGCAGTTGGTGTCGGCAGGGCCTGGTGAAGTAACCCACGTAGGAGATGAAGGCTGAGGTGAGGTGAACATCACCACACAGTCTTCTCCTGGTTCTTCTGACTGGGACACACACACTCACACACACACACCAGGCTTCTTCATGACAATATACACCACCAAAAGCAGTATGAAATGTAGTCTATAATATATGTATATGATCACTTTTATGATGAACTGGAAAATTGGTATATACATTTAGCTTCAAAGCCACCTCAAATATTTCAAACTATGGGATGAACCGTTAATTTAGGCTGAAATGTATTTCCCCACCCAGTCTATCGGCCAAACTAGAAAAACCTAAAGCAATAAAGTATACAACGGTAATTCCACCAAACTGGCTTTGAATGTTTGCCTGCAAATTCGCTCAGCATTTATTTAGCATCCATTTAATCCTTCGATGGTATGACCATCTGTGACATCTTGAACATGGTAAATCACGCGTGGCGTTTCTTCACAAGGGGCCAGAATCTGTGGCATAATAAATTCCCAGACAGTTAAAAATCACTATAATTTTACCCTAATGCATTATGGGTTGTCTGTAATATCACTCAGTCTTGGGGTGAAGTGTTTTTAATTTCCAACAGCTGTTGAGCCTGTGAGGTAAGTTAATGATTAAATATAGACGGTCTGATTTATTAGTCTAAATACCATCGCTTCCAGATCAATGCCATAAAGACAAATAATTTATCTTGATATGTTGAAAAGCCAAGCTGTCCCATGCTAGCCACATTTGTTTTGTTGAATAAGAAAGTAGAACGTATGAATATGGCCATTGCAGAAAAACATGACTCCCTTTTGGGATTTCACATTAACGGACCGACATAAAGATGTTGGATATCCACAGGACCACTTTGTTTTAAGAGGTAACACCTGGACTAGATGTGCGTAGAATATAAGACACTGTAGGCAAAATATGAATTCCAAACAATTTAGCATGAATACTGGTCAAAAGATTGATAGTAAAGAGCAGTATCAATTACAATGTATACATATCGATACCGAATACATACACACACACACACACTTCTTCAGGCCAGTCTGCTGCCCAGCTTGAATGTACTGTCCATGCAGCCTTCCTACCATATCTCTTCTCCTCTGGGCCGTTGGCCAGACAGAGAGCCAGTTGCCCAGTTTAATGGTGCGTTTGCTGTGGTCCGTCCCTCTCGTCCCTGATCCCCAACAGGCTGGCTAGCCACACCTGAAGCTCCATCCCCTCCACCACACTACAACCAGACACAGCCACATCACAGGGACATTATAACAAGTCCTCATCCAGGTTACTGATGCACTTCTGTCAACCCCACCTCCTGGTAGACACTGTACCTCGGGCCCTGTGACCAGTCACTTCCTCTATGCCAGATGAGACACACTGACACACTGATCCCTGATACACACTGTAGTGCCGAACCGTACGGTGCTGGCTCGTGTAGTTTCTTTTCACATTGTCGGTTCCAGAAACTACGGTGGATTGTAAACACCACGCAGTCTAGAGCAGCTGGGTTTGGCTCTATAGTGTGTATCAGGCATGACAGGACTGACCCCCGGCCCAGCCCCTCCTCTCTGTACCTCCAGGCCCTTGGCCAGCTGGTTGGCCAGCTCGATGGGTCACTTCCCCCTGGCACTGGACCTTCTCATCAGCAGCCGTCTCAAACTGGACTGTGAGGCTCTGCAGGTTGACAGAAACACCACAGAATCACAGACACATGACAAAACAATGTGGAATGTCATCTGGTCATTGGTTCACATCCAACCCCTGTTGTTAAACACACCACAGATTAGATAGGCTTCATGACAAGACAATGCTGAGTGGCATATGGTCATTGTGTGAGCTGGTGATTTCAACCCAGCATGGTGACTGATAATATAACACTTCTTACCTCCAGTTTCTTTCTAACTGTCAGCAGTTTGGCTGTTGCACTCTCCAGCTCGCTGTTAGCCTGGGACAAAGCTTGTCTCTTTGATGCTACCTCACAGTAAACCTATCATTGAGACAAACAGAAAAAGAAAAAACTGGCATATTACTTTAACTAGTGTTGAAATTCAACTATGTACAGACAATTTTGTTAACTGTGCTAATAATTTCATTGTTCCTTCCTGCATGTACACCCCCAGTCAAACGTTTGGACACACCTACTCATTCACACCTACTCAGTTCAGCGTTTTTCTTTATTTTTACTATTTTCTACATTGTAGAATAACAGTGAAAACATCAAAACTTCCGCATTGTCTCCGTGCTGCTGTGCTGTTTGTTGCTACTTGGCTACCTGCCAAACTATTCACGTTTTACTTTTAATAAACGTTTAATCAATCTCTGTGTTCAACAAATTTACCAACTTTTTAGTTTTGTCCTCACTCATCTTTTTTCGTTAAACTTTTTCACCCCGGACGTTTTATCCCGAGACAGAAGAGTCATTTTCCTGTGCGTTTTAGCTGCCAACTTTACTTTATTTTCCATCGCAACTTTTTTCCCTTATTCAACTTTTTCACTCCGGACGCTTTATCTGGACATGGTTCGTCAACATCTTCAACAGCCGAAGCTAAGTAGTAACATTAACATGATGTCTTCTAATTGCAGTCGCTGTACTCATAATATACAGGAGAACGATCGCCTTACGGCGAGAATAGCTGTGCTACAAGCCCAGCTTCAGACGCAATCGTTAGGCAAGGGTAATTTCAGTGTAGGAAAGGAAGAAACAGCGTCTGTGCCACCAGTAAGTACAGACAGTAACGTTAGTATAAATCCCCCCGCACAGTCCCCGCAGCCGGACAACTTTCTCATGGCTTCTGGAGGGAAATACTGTTGGAATGCTCAACCGGTGTCGCTCATTCAGCCGACAGAAACCTTCAACCGGTTTTCCCCATTATGTAGGGAGTCGGAGTCTGAGTCTGAGTCTTCTCTTGTCTCTACTCCTCCCGTTACGGGGTCTGAGACGCCGAAGGCTCCCACCATTAGCTCTGACAAATTGAAAACCCTAGTCATTGGCGACTCCATTACCCGCAGTATTAGACTTAAAACGAATCACCCAGCGATCATACACTGTTTACCAGGGGGCAGGGCTACCGACGTTAAGGCTAATCTAAAGATGGTGCTGGCTAAAGCTAAAACTGGCGAGTGTAGAGAGTATAGAGATATTGTTATCCACGTCGGCACCAACGATGTTAGGATGAAACAGTCAGAGGTCACCAAGTGCAACATAGCTTCAGCGTGTAAATCAGCTAGAAAGATGTGTCGGCATCGAGTAATTGTCTCTGGCCCCCTCCCAGTTAGGGGAAGTGACGAGCTCTACAGCAGAGTCTCAGCACTCAATCGCTGGTTGAAAACTGTTTTCTGCCCCTCCCAAAAGATAACATTTGTGGATAATTGGCCCTCTTTCTGGGACTCACCCACAAACAGGACCAAGCCTGACCTGCTGAGGAGTGACGGACTCCATCCTAGCTGGAGGGGTGCTCTCCTCTTATCTACCAACATAGATAGGGCTCTAACTCCTCTAGCCCCACAGTGAAATAGGGTGCAGGCCAGGCAGCAGGCTGTTAGCCAACCTGCCAGCTTAGTGGAGTCTGCCAATAGCATAGTCAGTGTAGTCAGCTCAGCCATACCCATTGAGACTGTGTCTGTGCCTCGACCTAGGTTGGGCAAAACTAAACATGGCGGTGTTCACCCTAGCAATCTTATTAGGATAAAGACCTCCTCCATTCCTGCCATTATTGAAAGAGATCGTGATACCTCACATCTCAAAATAGGGTTACTTAATGTTAGATCCCTCACTTCAAAGGCAGTCATAGTCAATGAACTAATCACTGATCATAATCTTGATGTGATTGGCCTGACTGAAACATGGCTTAAGCCTGATGAATTTGCTGTGTTAAATGAGGCCTCACCTCCTGGTTACACTAGTGACCATATTCCCCGTGCATCCCGCAAAGGCGGAGGTGTTGCTAACATTTACGATAGCAAATTTCAATTTACAAAAAAAAAAATGGCGTTTTCATCTTTTGAGCTTCTAGTCATGAAATCTATGCAGCCTACTCAATCACTTTTTATAGCTACTGTTTACAGGCCTCCTGGGCCATATACAGCGTTCCTCTCTGAGTTTCCTGAATTCCTATCAGACCTTGTAGTCATAGCAGATCATATTCTAATTTTTGGTGATTTTAATATTCACATGGAGAAGTCCACAGACCCACTCCAAAAGTCTTTCGGAGCCATCATCGACTCAGTGGGTTTTGTCCAACATGTCTCTGGACCTACTCACTGCCACAGTCATACTCTGGACCTAGTTTTGTCCCATGGAATAAATGTTGTAGATCTTAATGTTTTTCCACAAAATCCTGGACTATCGGACCACCATTTTATTACGTTTGCAATCGCAACAAATAATCTGCTCAGACCCCAACCAAGGAGCATCAAAAGTCGTGCTATAAATTCTCAGACAACACAAAAATTCCTTGATGCCCTTCCAGACTCCTTCTGCCTACCCAAGGACGTCAGAGGACAAAAATCAGTTAACCACTTAACTGAGGAACTCAATTTAACCTTGTGCAATACCCTAGATGCAGTTGCACCCCTAAAAACGAAAAACATTTGTCATAAGAAACTAGCTCCCTGGTATACAGAAAATACCCGAGCTTTGAAGCAAGCTTCCAGGAAATTGGAACGGAAATGGCGCCACACCAAACTGGAAGTCTTCCGACTAGCTTGGAAAGACAGTACCGTGCAGTACCGAAGAGCCCTCACTGCTGCTCGATCATCCTACTTTTCCAACTTAATCGAGGAAAATAAGAATAATCCAAAATTTCTTTTTGATACTGTTGCAAAGCTAACTAAAAAGCAGCATTCCCCAAGAGAGGATGGCTTTCACTTCAGCAGTAATAAATTCATGAACTTCTTTGAGGAAAAGATCATGACCATTAGAAAGCAAATTACGGACTCCTCTTTGAATCTGCGTATTCCTCCAGGGCTTAGCTGTCCTGGATCTGCACAGCTCTGCGAGGGCCTGGGATCGGGAGAGACACTTAAGTGTTTTAGTACTATATCTCTTGACACAATGATGAAAATAATCATGGCCTCTAAACCTTCAAGCTGCATACTGGATCCTATTCCTACTAAACTGCTGAAGGAGCTGCTTCCTGTGCTTGGCCCTCCTATGTTGAACATAATAAACAGCTCTCTATCCACCGGATGTGTACCAAACTCACTAAAAGTTTTAGGACCACTATTGTTTTCACTATATATTTTACCTCTTGGGGATGTTATTCGAAAACATAATGTTAACTTTCACTGCTATGCGGATGACACACAGCTGTACATTTCAATGAAACATGGTGAAGCCCCAAAATTGCCCTCGCTAGAAGCCTGTGTTTCAGACATAAGGAAGTGGATGGCTGAAAACTTTTTACTTTTAAACTCGGACAAAACAGAGATGCTTGTTCTAGGTCCCAAGAAACAAAGAGATCTTCTGTTAAATCTGACAATTCATCTTGATGGTTGTAAAGTCGTCTCAAATAAAACTGTGAAGGACCTCGGCGTTACTCTTGACCCTGATCTCTCTTTTGACGAACATATCAAGACTGTTTCAAGGACAGCTTTTTTCCATCTACGTAACATTGCAAAAATCAGAAATTTTCTGTCCAAAAATGATGCAGAAAAATTAATCCATGCATTTGTTACTTCTAGGTTAGACTACTGCAATGCTCTATTTTCCGGCTACCCGGATAAAGCACTAAATAAACTTCAGTTAGTGCTAAATACGGCTGCTAGAATCCTGACTAGAACCAAGAAATTTGATCATATTACTCCAGTGCTAGCTTCCCTACACTGGCTTCCTGTTAAGGCAAGGGCTGATTTCAAGGTTTTACTGTTAACCTATAAAGCGTTACATGGGCTTGCTCCTACCTATCTTTCCGAGTTGGTCCTGCCGTACATACCAATACGTACGCTACGGTCACAAGACGCAGGCCTCCTAATTGTCCCTAGAATTTCTAAGCAAACAGCGGGAGGCAGGGCTTTCTCCTATAGATCTCCATTTTTATGGAACAGTCTGCCTACCCATGTGAGAGACGCAGACTCGGTCTCAACCTTTAAGTCTTTACTGAAGACTTATCTCTTCAGTAGGTCATATGATTGAGTGTAGTCTGGCCCAGGAGTGTGAAGGTGAACGGAAAGGCTCTGGAGCAACGAACAGTCCCTTGCTGTCTCTGCCGGGCCGGTTCCCCTCTCCACTGGGGTTCTCTGCCTCTAACCCTGTTGCAGGGGTTGAGTCACTGGCTTGCTGGTGCTCTTTCATGCCGTCCCTGGGAGGGGTGCGTCACTTGAGTGGGTTGAGTTACTGACGTGATCTTCCTGTCTGGGTTGGCGCCCCCCCTTGGTTTGTGCTGTGGTGGAGACCTCTGTGGGCTATACTCGGCCTTGTCTCAGGATTGTAAGTTGGTGGTTGAGGATATCCCTCTAGTGGTGCGGGGGCTGTGCTTTGGCGGAGTGGGTGGGGTTATATCCTTCCTGTTTGGCCCTGTCCGGGGGTTTCTTCGGATGGGGCCACAGTGTCTCCGGACCGCTCCTGTCTCAGCCTCCAGTATTTATGCTGCAGTAGTTTATGTGTCGGGGGGCTGGGGTTAGTTGGTTATACCTGGAGTACTTCTCCTGTCTTATCCAGTGTCCTGTGTGAATTTAAGTATGCTCTCTCTAATTCTCTCGTTCTCTCTTTCTCTCTGAGAACCTGAGCCCTAGGACCATACGTCAGGACTACCGGGCATGATGACACCTTGCTGTCCCCAGTCCGCCTGGCCTTGCTGCTATTCCAGTTTCAACTGTTCTGCCTGCGGTTACGAAACCCCTACCTGTCCCAGACCTGCTGTTTTCAACTCTTAATGATCGGCTATGAAAAGCCAACTGAGAGACCTGAGCCCTAGGACCATACGTCGGGACTACCGGCCGTGGTGACTCCTTGCTGTCCCCAGTCCGCCTGGCCTTGCTGCTATTCCAGTTTCAACTGTTCTGCCTGCGGTTATGGAACCCCTACCTGTCCCAGACCTGCTGTTTTCAACTCTTAATGATCGGCTATGAAAAGCCAACTGAGATGTATTCCTGATTATTATTTGACCATGCTTGTCACTTATGAACATTTTTGAACATCTTGGCATGGTTCTGTTATAATCTTCACCCGGCACAGCCAGAAGAGGACTGGCCACCCCTCATAGCCTGGTTCCTCTCTAGGTTTCTTCCTAGGTTTTCGCCTTTCTAGGGAGTTTTTCCTAGCCACCGTGCTTCTACACCTGCATTACTAGCTGTTTGGGGTTTTAGGCTGGGTTTCTGTACAGCACTTCGAGATATTAGCTGATGTAAGAAGGGCTATATAAAATAAAATTGAAAAATTGAAATTGAATCAAGGCAAAGGGTGGCTACTTTGAAGAATCTAAAATCTAAAATATATTTTGATTTGTTTAACACTTTTTTGGTTGCTACATGATTCCATATGTGTTATTTCATAGTTTTGATGTCTTCACTATTATTCTACAATGTAGAAAATAGTAAAAATAAAGAAAAACCCTTGAATGAGTAGGTGTGTCCAAACTTTTGACTGGTACTGTTTATGAATAAAACAATTGATTAATGATTTAATGATATTCTATCAATGTCATTCAATCTGATATTATAATAATATATGCCATTTAGCAAATGCGTTTAACCAAAGTGACTTACAGTACTACATTTCCGTATACTGTCGTTGCAAAGTTCCATGCTCTACTAACCGAGCCACACAGGACCATATCATCTGACATTCAAACTGTCTTAATGATACACATCAAAGCTCTATTTCAGACTGGTCTCTGTCTGACCTCGTACTATCTGACGATGTTGATGGCCCAGGCACAGAGTCCTGCGGCGGCGGTGGACTTGGTCCTGACCAGGTCAGGGTGAAACTCTGGGTTCCTCAGGTACTCCTGCTTCACCACCACCAGACATGACTCAGCGATGTGCTCCTTGTCATACGACACCAGCGCCTGCAGGAAGTCATCCACCTGTATTGCCACAGGGCGATAAGTATGCATTAAGATACAATACATATTCATGTAGAATGCGTGATGTACTGTTGTCAGTCAAGTGGAACTAACACAGCTTTTGACAGTAAAACACGTCTTGCACATGATGATGTCACAAGGCAGACTATTGTCAGATTGGTTGATGGACTTGTTGAGACAACGTAATAAAGACTATCCAGGAATGTTTATCACTTGAAAATAACAAAATACCACCAGCTCTTTTTCAGAGTATTTCTCATTCAGACCAGAGTACAGTACAGTACAGTGGTGCTGGCTTCTTTCATAACTATATTCATAGAGCCATCATCCAGCTGTGTTGTGAGGATGAGACATGCAGGGTACAGGGTCAAGGCCCAGACCCAGATTACACTGGCATCCCTCAGACAGATGATGATGTGATTGACACAGTGACAGGTGGTAACCCTGGTTACCTTGCCCATGAAGGCCCGGGCTGTCTTCCAGCTCCGCTCCTTGGGGACGCGGGCGTGCGGAGCCAGCAGCACCATCACCGCCGCCGCCACTTTGATCACCGCTGCCGGAGGGTTGGCGAACGATTTCAGCTCCGTCAGATTCACCTGGAGACAGATACAATGTACCACCAGGTAGTTATTGTAGAAGACAATTTCTTCTCAACGACTTACCTGGGTTTATGACGGTTGAATAAATCAATCAAGAACCATATAAAACAAACCAAAAGGATCATTAGATAGATGAGTGATTTATACACACAGCAAGCACTGTAACTAACTGGTTCATTTACAGATTGACTGGTTACCTTATTAGATATGTGGCTTAGCTACAATTGCTCTGTAATCTACGACATGATTTGAGTATTGTACCTTGTTGAGAGTGTCCAGCGCTGCAGTAGCAGCCTGCACAATGGGCTCTGCCTTGAACAGGTCAGTCTCACAGTCCCTCTGCTTCAGTGAAACCTCTGTCTGGATGACAGACACCTGAACAGAGGACACAGACTCTATTGTCACTCCTTCAACTAAGAGGTCTTGACCTTCTTTTGTGAAATAATTGTTTCCTATTGAGTCCAGACCTGGGTCAAACCCATCACGTCAAGTATTTGTCTTGAAAGTATTTGAGGTGCGCTTGATTGATCTTGGGGTTTGCACTTTTAGGACTATGCTATTGTCCATTTTACTGGGCATAAGTAAATCAAGTGCAACTTAAGTATTAAAAATGACATCTAGTAATACAGATATTTTATACAGTGTATGTAATGGAGCCAGGTCTGATTAGGTATTTAACTATTGTTAATATGGTGAGAAGCGGTCACCTTCTGAGCTGCTACATCTGCAGCCTCTCTCTGGCAGCTGACTCTCTCTGTCTGCTGTCCAATCTTAGTGAAGAGAGCTTCTGCATCAGCATTCGTCAGGGTCAGATCCTCTTCCTGGGACGCCAGTTTGGCTTTTAGCTCCTCAACCTACAGTAAACCGCACAGTCCCGTAAGAGGATGCATCTCAGACGGCACCCTATTCCCTATATAGTGCACTACTTTTGACCGGAACCTATAGGGCTGTGGTCAAAAGTAGTGCAGTATATAGAGAACAGGGTGCCATTTGGGAAACATACATGAATATCATCATACCTTGGATAATGAATCTGATTTATGTCACGTCTATGTTAATGATATTATAATACGTCTTCTGATGGCATTTTTTTCTGTAACAAAAACTGATTAAATAAATGGAAATCCAATGTTGTATTCCTCTTTGCGGCAATAGCTATAAAATGTGATTTACATACATTTCAAGGTTTATCAGCAGCATTCAATCAGTGTAAAGGCAAAAGGCATTATACAAATGTGCTACTCAAACCTTCTCTGATCTTGTACCACAGCCTTGAGGTTCTGATATTAACGTTAAAGGCTGCAATTCCAAATGGCACCCTATTCCCTACATAGTGCAGGGGCCTGGTCAAAAGTAGTGCACCATACAGGGAATAGGGTGCCATTTGGGACCCACTCATAGACTCCTACCTGAGCGGCGGTAGTCTGGAGCTTCTGAAGGCCGCTGACAAGGCGCTTCATCTTCCAGCGGATCTGAGCCCGGCTCGTCCCCAGGAGCTTGCTGTACAGGGTGATCTGCTGGAGAAAGCTCTTTGGAGTGGTGTAATTGTACCTCTTCTCAGTGCGCCGGTATTTTTCACTTGCCTGGTTGACACTGGTGTGAACGCAGGCCATGAAAAGACTGATGGATTTCTGGACGGCGGGCTGTAAAAATAAGCAGAGGTGGGGGGGTGTGAGAGAGGGGGGGAAACAGAGAAAGGGGGGAGAAGGGAGAAGCACAGCAGGGGCGCTCTGGATTGAGTGGAATTTTACGTCCCCAAGCTGATGGGGCCTGAAATATTATCTTCATAAATTCTGAATTCATCTACAAGTTTTGCCATTTTACTTGGCCAGCCTCGACTCACTCAATCTGAAATTTAAGGGCAGCTAGCAGGAATGATTAGGCTTTGAAACCACTGGGAAAATAATGTGTTTAAGGCCTGTGACATGCAGCGCATAACGCAGAGGCTCTGTTTACATTATCCATCATGTCCTTCAACTTTCTTGACACAGTCCTGGGTATTACACAGTACTCTACTGACTGGGTATTACACAGTACTCTACTGACTGGGTATTACACAGTACTCTACTGACTGGGTATTACACAGTACTCTACTGACTGGGTATTACACAGTACTCTACTGACTGGGTATTACACAGTACTCTACTGACTGGGTATTACACAGTACTCTACTGACTGGGTATTACACAGTACTCTACTGACTGGGTAAATACACAGTACTCTACTGACTGGGTATTACACAGTACTCTACTGACTGGGTATTACACAGTACTCTACTGCACACAGTGTAGAAGCTACAACATAGTCCTACTGACTGGTTATTTATCATAGTACTGCTCAATGACCCACCATGTCACAATTAATCACACGCCGTTAGGGATCAATTCATGCAAAAACAAAGTAGCACAGAGAACAGGGCTCACACCTGAACATCACTCACAAAAGGCCATTGTACATGATCCAGGATCCAGAGGGAAAAATCATTAGTAATTAAGATCTGACATAATGCCTTTTGACAAAGTGTTGAATGTTCAGTTGAGATGCGGAGCGGCAAAGTTCTCATTGATTTACCTAGTTCATCCATTATTTGTGGCTTGTGCATTTTTAAACTCCATATAAATGAGTGTTTCATGTGCTGTTGTGTTTACCTAATCCTTTAACAAGACAAACATTTTTTTATACTGATTGCTTTATATGTAATCTTTCACAAATAATTATTTGATTTCAGGTTTCAACTTCTCATATAAGGCAGGGATATATCCATATTTCCATTTGATGGTTGTTTTCATCGCTGCCAGACTCAAGTGCTTGGAGTTGAGGCCAGTGACCCTCTGTTTAACTACTGGAAGAGGGTCATTCAAATCATACAGTTTTGGAGTAACACAGTGTACTGGAGAAAAGGTCAATAACATTGCCACGCACACACACACAGAGAGACACAAATTCACACACACAACAGGGAAATCACACACACACACACACACACACACACACACACTCCTATAGTCTTCTCCCACTGGTCCCCAGCAGCAGCAGCATGTGAAGGCCCTTCCTGTTAGTGCGGCGACAGCTGTGCCTCCTGAGAGGGTCGTCGTTACCGTATTAATCACTCTACTCTCATTAACATAAATGATCCTGGGTACTGATCGTTCCACTGCCATGAGGGAAAACAATGATACGTCTACTCTGCAGACACACACACACACATACACACACGGGAGTCATCTGCCATGTGACCAGCCATTTGTCAGTAGCTCAGTGTGTCTCAGTGGATAAGTAATGATGAGGGATCTATGGTAAAGTTAATACAGCTGCACTGCTTTAATTACAAGATGTTCATTAAAAGTCTAACTGACTAAGTCTTAAACCCTTTAAGAGTGTCATTAGGAAAGACATTGCCAAAACACACTACAGCACTGTGTCAACTGTTGTTCTATTCTAGAACACCATGGTTATTACAACTAACTGTTACATCTAACCTGTATAGCAGAATGCTGTTGTCAGTCTCCAACCTTACTGTATGTAGCTCCATTCCTGTGTATTTTATTTTATTCATCTTGTGTTACTATTTTTACTATAATATTAAAACTCTGCATCGTTGGGAAGGGCTCGTAAGCAAGTCTACACCAGTTTTATTCGGCGCATGTGAGAAAATGTAATTTGATTTGATTTGATTTAACATAGACCACAGAGATAACATCCAGATCAGAAACACCATCATATCAGTCAAACTACACAGCCTTGTAGTGTCATTCATCTATTGGGAACAGACCAGAGCTGTGTAAAACACATTTCACATCGTGTCGCAAAATCACTCCAAATGAATGGGCACCTCTGATGAATTTGGGCCGTTTCCTGTTGAAGTATTTCAAAGAATTGGAATAGGGTCTGAACCCAGGCCTGGTAAAGCAGAGTAGACTACAGTACCTTGCTGAGAGTGCCTCACCTCAATGTCCTCAATCTCCTGGATGAACCTGAGGCTGACAGACTGCAGGGCCTCAAGGGGCCAGGGGTGGAACCAGTCCATGGTGGTGCAGTGGACCAGGGCAGGGAAGAGACAGGCCCTGAGACGCAGGGCACTGCCCACAGGAGACAGACACAGAACCAGCTAGAGAGAGACACCATCCGCATGGCAGGAAGAAGGATGTGAGGTTCAGACAGACAAGGACACATCATATTCGTCCCAAATGGCACCCTATTCCCTATTTAGTGCCCTACTTTTGACCAGGCCCCATAGGGAGGCCCATATGGGGCCTACTATGTTCATGGCTGCGTCCCAAATAGCACCCTATACCCTACAAAGCCATGAACATACAGGCCCTGGGAGAGATGGGGCTCTGGGTGGCTAACCACCATGCCAGACAGGCCCTTTGGGCAGACATGCAGGGTAAACACACAGACACATATGTGCACATTGCCCAACACAGACATAAAAGGATGTATGCCCAAATGCACATACTGTATGACAACACACACGCAGTCATAGACCACTGAAATGGCAAATGCATCCAAAAGAAAACATCCTCTTTTATCAGAGCGAGACAAACTGGCAGCCTGCCTGTTCTCCCTCCCTCTTTCTTTCCCTCTCACGCCCCTTCCTCCCTTCATCTCTCTCCCTCCATCTTTCTATCTCTCTCTCGCTCTCTCCCTGTTTTCTAGTCCGTTGTGGGGCATGTCTGGCATGTGCAGTGAGCCACAGACCAGTTGGATCTAACAGACAGGAAACCCCAGTTGAGGCCTGTCGGGGACAACGGATGGATTAGCTGGACTAGGAACATGTGCACTGTCTGAGACAACTCTTTCCTTCCTCTACTTCAGCCCCCTGAGTCTCTGTCTGGCTCTGGCAAGGCATCTAACCATAACAACCATTCAACAGGGCAGAATTCATAAAGCCGTGTCTTAACCGACTATCTCCCTCTAGATTCTGAGGGGAATGTACAGTAAGCAGACTACCTACAGATCAGAAAGAGTCAAGTGTCTGACTGAACTGGACCGTGAGTTGGAGTCGGACCTGGTTGATGAAGAACCTCCAGCAGTTGTCTCTGGTGTCCAGCAGGCCCAGCCCCCGGACCTCAGTCCTCCCCCCGGCTACAATCCATCCACCTCCTCCTCACTGAACAGGTCAGGGATCTCACCTGGGGAAACAGACATACAACACCACCAACAGAGACGAGGGAGGGATTGAGAATTGTAATTCCCAGTGACTTGCTCTACGGGAGAACCCATAGGTAGTCACCTGATGCCAGCAGGTTGTTGATGATGACCAGGAAGCGTTCGTCTGGTATCTGAGCGTCAGTCACGAGCAGAGCTATGGGTTGGTTATTTACCCTTGTACTCAAGTACAACCCAGTCAGATCAAACTAGAACACAGATACAGTAGAGAACACAGTAACAGTCAGGGTCAGTAGAGAACACAGTAACAGTGAGGGTCAGTAGAGAACACAGTAACAGTCAGGGTCAGTAGAGAACACAGTAACAGTCAGGGTCAGTAGAGAACACAGTAACAGTCAGGGTCAGTAGAGAACACAGTAACAGTCAGGGTCAGTAGACAACACAGTAACAGTCAGGGTCAGTAGAGAACACAGTAACAGTCAGGGTCAATAGAGACAGAACACAGTAACAGTCAGGGTCAGAAGTGACAGAACACAGTAACAGTCAGGGTCAGTAGAGACAGAACACAGTAACAGTCAGGGTCAGTAGAGACAGAACACAGTAACAGTCAGGGTCAGTAGAGAACACAGTAACAGTCAGGGTCAGTAGAGAACACAGTAACAGTCAGGGTCAGTAGAGAACACAGTAACAGTCAGGGTCAGTAGAGAACACAGTAACAGTCAGTGTCAGTAGAGAACACAGTAACAGTCAGTGTCAGTAGAGAACACAGTAACAGTCAGGGTCAGTAGAGAACACAGTAACAGTCAGGGTCAGTAGAGAACACAGTAACAGTCAGGGTCAGTAGAGAACACAGTAACAGTCAGGGTCAATAGAGAACACAGTTACAGTCAGGGTCAGTAGAGAACACAGTAACAGTCAGGGTCAGTAGAGAACACAGTAACAGTCAGGGTCAGTAGAGACAGAACACAGTAACAGTCAGGGTCAGTAGAGACAGAACACAGTAACAGTCAGGGTCAGTAGAGAACACAGTAACAGTCAGGGTCAGTAGAGAACACAGTAACAGTCAGGGTCAGTAGAGAACACAGTAACAGTCAGGGTCAGTAGAGACAGAACATAGTAACAGTCAGGGTCAGTAGAGACAGAACACAGTAACAGTCAGGGTCAGTAGAGAACACAGTAACAGTCAGGGTCAGTAGAGAACACAGAAACAGTCAGGGTCAGTAGAGAACACAGTAACAGTAAGGGTAAGTAGAGAACACAGTAACAGTCAGGGTCAGTAGAGAACACAGTAACAGTCAGGGTCAATAGAGAACACAGTTACAGTCAGGGTCAGTAGAGAACACAGTAACAGTCAGGGTCAGTAGAGAACACAGTAACAGTCAGGGTCAGTAGAGACAGAACACAGTAACAGTCAGGGTCAGTAGAGACAGAACACAGTAACAGTCAGGGTCAGTAGAGAACACAGTAACAGTCAGGGTCAGTAGAGAACACAGTAACAGTCAGGGTCAGTAGAGAACACAGTAACAGTCAGGGTCAGTAGAGACAGAACATAGTAACAGTCAGGGTCAGTAGAGACAGAACACAGTAACAGTCAGGGTCAGTAGAGACAGAACACAGTAACAGTCAGGGTCAGTAGAGAACACAGTAACAGTCAGGGTCAGTAGAGAACACAGTAACAGTCAGGGTCAGCAGAGACAGAACACAGTAACAGTCAGGGTCAGTCGAGAACACAGTAACAGTCAAGGTCAGTAGAGAACACAGTAACAGTCAGGGTCAGTAGAGAACACAGTAAAAGTCAGGGTCAGTAGAGAACACAATAACAGTCAGGGTCAGTAGAGAACACAGTAACAGTCAGGGTCAGTAGAGAACACAGTAACAGTCAGGGTCAGTAGAGAACACAGTAACAGTCAGGGTCAGTAGAGAACACATTAACAGTCAGGGTCAGTAGAGAACACAGTAACGGTTAGGGTCAGTAGAGAACACAGTAACAGTCACGTTCAGTAGAGAACACAGTAACAGTCAGGGTCAGTAGAGAACACAGTAACAGTCAGGGTCAGTAGAGATAGAACACAGTAACAGTCAGGGTCAGTAGAGATAGAACACAGTAACAGTCAGGGTCAGTAGAGATAGTAACAGTCAGGGTCAGTAGAGACAGAACACAGTAACAGTCAGTGTCAGTAGAGAACACAGTAACAGTCAGGGTCAGTAGAGAACACAGTAACAGTCAGTGTCAGTAGAGAACACAGTAACAGTCAGGGCCAGTAGAGAACACAGTAACAGTCAGGGCCAGTAGAGAACACAGTAACAGTCAGGGTCAGTAGAGAACACAGTAACAGTCAGGGTCAGTAGAGAACACAGTAACAGTCAGGGTCAGTAGAGAACACAGTAAGCAGAGCTGGTTGGTCTGGTTCTTTACGCCATTCCACAGCCAAGTCCACCTACACTTTAGAGCATAAGAGTGTGTTCACTAGGAACCCAACAGAAAAGAAGACGTAATGAAAGGGGAAGGGGGGGTGATCCCTTGTGTGCCATAATGAACACAGGCCAGATTGACAGTAGAAACACTTCACTTGAAGCTGCTTCTCTAACATTCTTCAAGCAGTAAAAGTTGTGGTGTAATCTGAAAATATTATTCAACACGATGGTGCTCATTGAAGAATCTTGAGGTGTTCAAGATAAATGAAGTGGTTCATCACCATGACGCTGCAGAGAGAGAGAGAGAGAGAGAGAGAGAGCAACTGCTAGCAGCCAGAGGGGTATTGATCCTGAAGGACGATGTCTAAAAGAAACCTTGATCTATCTTCATGAATCACAGCCATTTAACATTATTATTCTCCTCCCTGACTGGGTGTGGTGCGGTTCACCACACAATATGAGGGACTGTGATTGGCTGGGATAGTTATTTATGATACTACAGGAAGTTTTCATATTGACAGATGTAAGTCCGTCTTGGTGTTGAAATCCTGCTCTGCCGCATGATATCTATTCACATATTCATTGCAATCACTTATCATGCGTAAACGATCTACGATAAATTCTGTCAGGTTTTACATCCATTATTAATGACTATGTTAATCATGATGACCTCTCATACCAAGACGAAGGGGGGTCTGTGTTTACCTCGAGGTTCTGTGTGGTGTAGACCTTTCTCAGGGTGTGTGTGTGTGTGTGTGTGTGTGTGTGTGTGTGTGTGTGTGTGTGTGTGTGTGTGTGTGTGTGTGTGTGTGTGTGTGTACCTCGAGGTTCTGTGTGGTTTAGGCCTTCCTCAGGGTGTGTGTGTGTGTGTGTGTGTGTGTGTGTGTGTGTGTGTGTGTGTGTACCTCGAGGTTCTGTGTGGTGTAGACCTTCCTCAGGGTGTGTGTGTGTGTGTGTGTGTGTGTGTGTGTGTGTGTGTGTGTGTGTGTGTGTGTGTGTGTACCTCGAGGTTCTGTGTGGTTTAGGCCTTCCTCAGGGTGACCTGGAACACGTCAACAGAGGACAGGTGGGCAGCCAGGCGGGTCAGGCTCTGCTTCCCGCTGCCCCCCACCCCAACCAGCAGGGCATGACCACGCGGAGACTCCAGGATATGACTGATCCTACAGCTGTGGATGAACAAAAAACATGCTCAACTCTATTGTCTTGAAAAACAGTTCCTGAAAAGGATGTTCTATAATCCTGCCGTCCAGACAACTGAGGTCACCTCATTTATGAATACCTCCAGAAGAAAGTTAGATTACTTTCAATTCTGCTCAGTTTTGTCAAAATTGCTTTTATAGTTCAATCCCTCACTTCAATTCACACATGTTGCATGGCATCTTCAAACAGTGCCAGGTTCATGGCAGCATTGAGCTTGTTGTATCCATCCATGGCCTCAGTGAGTAGAGTCCTGAGTTGGTCCTAGTCTTTGACAGCCATGTAGCAGGCCTCCCCCCTGCTCCCTGGGTGAAGTGACAGTAAATGAAGGGTTTCTGCAATAACAGGACCTGCTCCTCCACTCCCTGCAACACACAGAAGAAAAAATGAAGTTACTCTGCTTATTTTAAACATTATTTTTTTGATGTGTTAAAAAAAATGGAGCAACTTGTCTTCATCTTTGATGACACACAATACAATACAAAAAATATGTACAGTGAGTTTTTTTTATTATACTACCCGTTTCATAATACACTGGTTCCCAAACTAAGGGTCGGGAGTCCAGGTGGGTCGCGGGATTACATTTTTATTTCATTTTTGTACACATTTGGAAAAACACTTTCATTGTAAACTTAAATGACTAAAACCAAATACAGTGGCTTGCGGAAGTATTCACCCCCTTGGCATTTTTCCTATTTTGTTGCCTTACAACCTGGAATTAAAATGGATTTTCTGGGGGTTTGTATCATTTGATTTACACAACATGCCTACCACTTTGAAGATGTAAAATAAAAATAAATGTGAAACAAACAAGAAATAAGACAAAAAAACAGAAACCTTGAGTATGCATAACTATTCCATCATTCCTTCAATTCTGACCAGTTTCCTAGTCCCTGCAGATGAAAAACATCCCCACAGCATGCTGCCTCCACCACCACGCTTCACTCTGGGGATGGTGTTCTCGGGGTGATGAGAAGTGTTGGGTTTGCGCCAGACATTTTCCTTGATGGCCAAAAAGCTTGATTTTAGTCTCACCTGACCAGAGTACCTTCTTCCATATGTTTGGGGAGTCTCCCACATGCCTTTTGGCGAACACCAAATGTGTTTGCTTATTTTTTTCTTTAAGCAATGGCTTTTTTCTGGCCACTCTTCCGTAAAGCCCAGCTCCGTGGAGTGTACAGCTTAAAAGTGGTCCTATGGACAGATACTCCAATCTCCGCTGTGGAGCTTTGCAGCTCCTTCAGGGTTATCTTTGGTCTCTTGGGTTATCTTTGGCCTTGCCTGGTCCGTGAGTTTTGGTGGGCGGCCCTCTCTTGGCAGGTTTGTTGTGGTACCATATTCTTTCAATTTTTTAATAATGGATTTAATGGTGCTCCGTGGGATGTTCAAAGTTTCGGATATTTTTTTATAACCCAGCCCTGATCTGTACTTCTCCACAATGTTGTCCCTGACCTGTTTGGAGAGCTCCTTGGTCTTCATGGTGCCGCTTGCTTGGTGGTGCCCCTTGCTTAGTGGTGTTGCAGACTCTGGGGCATTTCAGAACAGGTGTATACTGAGATCATGTGACAGATCATGTGACACTTAGATTGCACACAGGTGGACTTTATTGAACTAATTATGTGACTTCTGGAGGTAATTGGTTGCACCAGATCTTATTTAGGGGCTTCACAGCAAAGGGGGTGAATACATATGCACGCACCACCTTTCCGTTTTTAAATTTTTTTTTATATAATGTTTTGAAACAAGTTATTTTTTTCATTTCACTTCACTAATTTGGACTATTTTGTGTATGTCCATTACATGAAATCCAAATAAAAATCAATTTAAATTACAGGTTGTAATGCAACAAAATAGGAAAAATGCCAAGGGGGATGAATACTTTTGCAAGGCACCGTAGAAAGTGTGTAAAATAGCCTAGAATCTTTAAGAACTTACAATCAACAAAATAAAAGCTAGACAATCTGGCCCCCATTGATTTGGTTATAATGTTTTGAGCATAAGAACCCAGCATTAGCCATGTCAAAATGCATAGAATTGCAGGAAATCTGCTTAAAAACTGCAAAATTATTTTATCTCAGCTCCATGGCAAAATGTATACGATTGCATCAAAAAAATGCTTTAAAACTGCAAAATTGTATTTCAGCTTCAAGACAAAATGTGTAGAATTACTGGAAATGAGCTTTGGTGGGTCTTATCTGGTGTCCTGTGTGATCTTAGGTATGCTCCCTCTAATTCTCCCATCTCTCTCCCTCCCTCCCTCCCCTTCCAGGGGACCTGAGCCTTATGAACATGCCCTTCAGGACTAACTGGCCTGACGACTCCTGGCTGTCCCCATCCGCAGTCCACCTGGTCGTGCTGCTGATCCAGTTTCTGCTGTTCTGCCTGCAGCTATGGAACCCTGACCTGTTCACCAGACTTGCTACCTTGTCCCGGACCTGCTGTTTCGACCCTCTCCCTCTCACACCTGCTATCTCGACCTCTGAATGCTCAGCTATGAAAAGCCTACTGACGTTTAAAATAAAAATTAAATTGGTAATTTAGCAGACGCTCTTATCCAGAGCGACTTACAGGAGCAATTGGGGTTAAGTGCCTTGCTCAAGGGCACATAGACATATTTTTCACCTAGTCGGCTCGGGGATTAGAACCAGCGACCTTTCGGTTACTGGTACAACGCTCTTAACCACTAAGCTACCTGCCGCCCCTTTTAGAGGGTGCAACAGGTGCTGACCTGTTGCACCCTCTAAAACCACTGTGGTTATTATTTGACCCTGCTGGTCATTTATGAACGTCTGAACATCTTGAAGAACGATCTGGCCATATACTCTTATCACCTTCTCCTGGCATAGCGTGCTTCTACATCTGCATTGCTTGCTCTTTGGGGTTTTAGGCTGGGTTTCTGTATAAGCACTTTGTGACATTTGCTGATGTAAAAAGGGCTTTATAAATACATTTGATTCATTGATTGATTGACTGTAGGTGCTGGTTTCCTGGACACAGGTTAAGCCTTGTCTTGGACTTAAAAACATGCTAAATGGAGATTCTCCATTGAAAGCGCTTTTTAGTCCAAGTTCGAAACTATACTGACCATTTTTCGGTAAAAAATTGATAGGGCCCTCAGCCCTAGTCAGTACCTGGAGTCTAGCATTCCTAGTGAGTACCTGGAGTCTAGCATTCCTAGTCAGTACCTGGAGTCTAGCATTCCTAGTGAGTACCTGGAGTCTAGCATTCCTAGTCTGTACCTGGAGTCTAGCATTCCTAGTCAGTACCTGAAGTCTAGCATTCCAACTCAGTACCTGGAGTCTAGCATTCCTAGTCAGTACCTGGAGTCTAGCATTCCTACTCAGTACCTGGAGTCTAGCATTCCTAGTCAGTACCTGGAGTCTTGCATTCCTACTCAGTACCTGGAGTCTAAGCATTCCTACTCAGTACCTGGATTCTAGCATTCCTAGTCAGTACCTGGAGTCTAGCATTCCTAGTCAGAACCTGGATTCTAGCATTCCTAGTCAGTACCTGGATTCTAGCATTCCTACTCAGTACCTGGAGTCTTGCAATCCTACTCAGTGCCTGGAGTCTAAGCTGGAATATACCAGTGGAGTTGAGCTAGTCCTGATCAGTACCTGTAGTCTAGGGTTGATGGTGAAGCTCCCAGAGATAGGGTTCATACAGGCAACATACTGACAGTGGTGGATCTCCTTTAGGGTCATCTTCTGCCTATCATACCTGCAGTAGGAAACAGTGGGGCAACAGCTTGATTATACAAAGCTAACACACCATAAACCACCCTTCTGATAAAATGGAAGTGCAATATTTGATTCTGATCCGACAATCAAAGGTGGTATAAGGGGCATTATAGTGTACAGGGCTTCTAGCCCACCACCTATGTTTACTCTGACAATACTTCCCCATACATGACAATACTTCCCCATACATGACAATACTTCCCCATACATGACAATACTTCCCCATACATATGACAATACTTCCCCATACATATGACAATACTTCCCCATACATATGACAATACTTACATTTTTAATTTTAGTCATTTAGCAGACGCTCTTAACCAGAGTGCATACATTTTCATACTGGCCCCTGGCCCCCCGTGGGAATCGAACCCACAACCCTGGCGTTGCAAGCGCCATGCTCTACCAACTGAGCTACACGGGGCTCCCCATACATATGACAATACTTCCCCATACATATGACATATGACAATACTTCCCCATACATATGACAATACTTCCCCATACATTTCTATCCATCTATTGAGCGGTATGTGTTGTGGGTCTGTATGCCTGACCAGTGTGTGTAGTCCAGGTGCTGGTGTATGAGTGTGTGTGGCTGCACGGTGCCGTAGCTGTCCACAGCTGGCATGTTCATGTCGTCGATGAAGTAGACCAGCTTCCTGTTTCCTGGAGGGGCGAAGTTACAGCCTGCCCTCTTCGCCAAAGGCCACTCCAGGACCACTGAGCCAAAACAACATCAGAGTTACCAAAACACCCTAGTCACATCAGACAACAGAGTTACCAAAACGCCCTAGTCACATCAGACGACAGAGTTACCAAAACACCCCAAGTCATGGATAAATAATATTTTGATGAGTACTGTTAGATCACCAACAACCAACGTGTTTCCTTTTGGCCCTTTTAGAAGATGTTCACGTAGAATTGTTTAACGATCAAAATAGTATTAGCCTATACCCCTCAAACTCAACTCTGGACCTCCACGCCAGTTCCACTGCATGTTTTCATTGTTCCCCTCTAATCAGGGACTGATTTAGACCTGGGACACCAGTTGGGTGCAATTAATTATCAGGTAGAACAGAGAACCAGCAGGCTCCGGACCTCGTGGGGTCAGAGTTGAACACCCCTGGCCTATACTGTATGGTACAGATAACTTTCTTTGTGACCTCACCAGCGCTACTCTTTCTCCAAGTAACACCAGCAGATGGTGCTGCTGTTCTGGTTTGAGATCTGGATCTTAGAACAGCATATCTTAGACGTGAAGCATTTTTTCATCACAACTTGCTGCCTTAAAGCACAGCTTCAACACAGGAAGAACTGGACCAGAACCGAGTGAGATGGAGGACATTCGTCAATGACCTATGCTCCTAATAGGGCTTAAGTCAAGAAAGTCACAACGTTGTGTAACTCACTCTGCAGCATGAGGGAGGTGCAGTAGTTGTTGAGGGGCACTTTAGTGGTCATATAGATGTCTGTCAGGTGGTCTAACTGGTTCCTGACCAGAGACGTCTTCCCCACGCCAGCATTCCCACCAGCATCAAGGGGTTGGCCCCTCTCCAGCAACAGATCCATGAAGTACCTCAGACGCGCCGTCTCCGCCGTATGCACCAGAACGGCCTACAGTACAGCAGCCTTAGAAAACAACTGAGAAAAGAGTACAGTGTGAACACAGAAACGGTTACAGCACGGTTATATCACTCACTTTGAAAGCCATGTATTGACCGACACGAACTCAGTGAGTTGTTCATAATTGATAATGTCTTATGTTTCCCGGGTATACCGCCACTGTTCGGGGATAATAGCGTCATTAGGTGGGAACAAAACCCTGCTAATTACAGCTCAGCCAGAAGCGGCAGTCAGCAGGCAGGCAGCTGTGGGTAGGAGGACTGGGAGGAGGCAATAGAGCGTTGGTTGAGAGCCTAGAGTCTGTGTTCTGGTGCTTTACACCCACACCCTCTGCTATGCGGTGTGCTAGATGGTAATCAGACACAGTGGCAGGGCTTTGTTCCGTCCTAGCTAGGGACCCCCACTATGACCTCATGATGTGTGGCTTTACCCTCTCTTATCATGCTCGCTGATGCGTTCAGACATTTTTAATATGTCCGTATCGTTCATTTATTGTTATTGTTTTTCAAAGGATGGTGGCTTTCTCGCTGAAACGTGTATTCTGATGTTCTTTTCAAAGTTGCAACGGGAAGATAAAGTTGCAAAAGGAAGATATTATCCCCATGTAGGCTAGAATAATAACTGTCCCCGGGAGGTTTTCCAGACCATGTGACCATGGAACTCTGGCTGCGCGGCTAGTTAATTACAATCTACAGAGATGCTACAGAGATGCTACAAAGAGGCTACAGAAAAAGCAGAGAAGTCTCCAAGGTCAAGTCATATTGTCAGGAAAAAGTCCTGGCCCTAGTTGGAAAGTCTAAGCTCTTTCATAGTCCTTAATACAACATCTTGTCAGTCAGGTGTCTAGATTTTGACCTGCAGTGGCATATCAGGCTCCATGTGGTAGGGTGTTACTCTGTGGCTCCAGGGCAGGAAGCGTCTGGTCACAGGGTCCAGGTAGATGTCAAACACAGAGTTCTGGGCTGGGGCCTGCAGCTTCACTGTCTTTATCTCCTTGGTCCACCACTGGCTGAACTCAGCCCGGTAGTCATGGAGCTACAGAAAAAGAAGAAGAAAAACTGTAGCACTGGTAATCTTGATGCTTCTTCCAACAATTTAATGACTATTTTTAAGCAACGTTTCTGTCTCAATCGACCTTCATCAGGGTATTTTACAGGAAGGCGAAACTCATTCATGGAGCTACAGGCAGCATGGTCAAATATTTATATGTCAATGCACATGTACTGTAGCATCGTGTGTAATAACTGACAACATTATGTATCATCGTGTAAAAGACCAGATGAATGAGCTACACAGGCTTTTAGCATATCAACCCATTTTTTAAATAAATTACATCATTTTTGGGGGGTAGAGGAATGTGATGTCTTGTACAGTCAATATGATATGATGGTACCTCATACAGTATTTTCCATGTACAGAGTGCTGGGGTGTCATACCTGATCTTGGTACAGGGTTAGAGTTAGAGTGTCATACCTGATCTTGGTACAGGGCTAGGGTTAGAGTGTCATACCTGATCTTGGTACATGGCCCTACCGAAGGCCCAGATGCCAAGATGAGTGTGTGTGTGTGTGTGTGTGTGTGTGTTGTGTGTGAGTGAGTGAGTGAGTGAGTGAGTGAGTGAGTGAGTGAGTGAGTGAGTGAGTGAGTGAGTGAGTGAGTGAGTGAGTGAGTGAGTGAGTGAGTGAGTGAGGGTAAGGGGGGGTGGGGAGAGGGACACGAAAGGAGAGAGAGAGAGAGGGGGGGGACAGAACGAGAGAGAGAGAGGGGGAGGAAGAGAGAGAGACAGAAGAGAAACAGAGAGAGAGAAGAAGAAAGAGAGAGATAGAGAGAGAGAGAGATAGAGAGAGAGATAGCGAATCATGAGAGAGAGAAGAGAGAGATAGAGAGAGAAGCGCAGAAAGATAAAGATAGTTTTTTTTTTTATTCCTAACTCCTCTCCTCTCCCTCCCCTCGAAGAACAGACAGCTCTGATAGATCCTTCATAAGAGAAAAAAGGAATGGATGAAGAGATCTCTCTCTCTCCTCTCTCTCAGATCATCTTCTACTCCTCTCTCGAAAGAGATTATGAGAAGAAGACAGACTTTACAGTAACACTACCTGCACCATGGAGCTCTCTGGGATGGGGGTGATGGTCTTGAATGTACTCCTCACGTTTAGTGCGTTTACTAAATGTGGAGATTGCAAGAGGAAGAGAAAATTGTAGATTGGTGTGTTGTAGTGGTGGATTGGGGTGTTGTAGTAGTGGATTGGTGTAGAAAGTGAACAGGAGGGAGGAGGTACCTTGTTGTCGTCCATCACTGTGTTGAGAGATTCAATCCACATCGGATCAATGTCTCCATCCAACACAATCCACTTAGGCCCTGGGTGGCAGATGTTACCCTGCTCTCTCATCCGAAAGGACAGAAGACCTACAGTACTGTAACACAGGAGAGGATGGATGACAGGAGACCTACAGCACTGTAACACAGGGGGGGATGGATGACAGGAGACATACAGTACTGTAACACAGGAGGGGAAGGATGACAGGAGACATACAGTACTGTAACACAGGAGGGGAAGGATGACAGGAGACCTACAGTACTGTAACACAGGAGGGATGATGACAGTAGACATACAGTACTGTAACCAGGAGGGGAAGGATGACAGGAGACCTACAGTACTGTAACACAGGAGGGGAAGGATGACAGGAGACATACAGTACTGTAACACAGGAGGGGAAGGATGACAGGAGACTACAGTACTGTAACACAGGAGGGGAAGGATGACAGGAGACCTACAGTACTGTAACACAGGAGGGGAAGGATGACAGGAGACATACAGTACTGTAACACAGGAGGGGAAGGATGACAGGAGACATACAGTACTGTAACACAGGAGGGGAATGGATGACAGGAGACCTACAGTACTGTAACACAGGAGGGGAAGGATGACAGGAGACCTACAGTACTGTAACACAGGAGGGGATGGATGACAGGAGACCCACAGTACTGTAACACAGGAGGGGATGGATGACAGGAGACATACAGTACTGTAACACAGGAGGGGATGGATGACAGGAGACCTACAGTACTGTAACACAGGAGGGGAAGGATGACAGGAGACCTACAGTACTGTAACACAGGAGGGGAAGGATGACAGGAGACCTACAGTACTGTAACACAGGAGGGGATGGATGACAGGAGAGCCTGGCGGGTAGGAGCGGGTAGGAGCATTGGGGCAGTAACCAAAAGGTTGCTGGATCAAATCCGCGAACCGATAAGGTAAAAATCTGTCGTTCTGCCCCTGAGCAAGGCAGTTAACCCCCAACAACTTCTCCCCGGGCGTCGTAGAGATTGTTACAATGTCACATTGTCTTTAACACAGTTTAATGGTTAAGACCAAACGTATCTATTAGTGGTTGGTTGTATTTGACAGAAGTATTAAAGTGGTTGAAGGATTGTGACTTGACCGTCTTTCCGCTGGCGAGTGGCAGGATGGATGAATCCAAACAGCTCATCTGTGTTGACCGCCTTAGGATTCAGATCATTCCACACCGGCTTCCTCTTCAAGTTACAGTAGGTCTTATTCAGGGTTCTCAATATCTATCAAAAACAAGAGTTACCACAACAGTTTGGCATTTGTGAGGTTGGAGTTTCGGAATGTGGTATTCTATTTTTCAAGCTAGGTGTTTACTGTATAAACTATATGAAGTTCGTACATTATCAAAGGTGTAGAGATCCAAAATTAGGGCGTAAACACCATTCACAAATCAAAAAGGTACGTAAGCAAACAGCATGTGTCCTTCTGTAACATGGCTGTATGTCCATACAGCCAGTAACATTTACCTGGCTGTATGGACAGTAACATCTACCTGGCTGTATGGGCAGTAACATCTAACGTTTACCTGGCTGTATGGACGGTAACATTTACCTGGCTGTATGGACAGTAACATCTACCTGGCTGTATGGGCAGTAACATCTAACGTTTACCTGGCTGTATGGACGGTAACATTTACCTGGCTGTATGGACAGTAACATCTACCTGGCTGTATGGGCAGTAACATCTAACGTTTACCTGGCTGTATGGACGGTAACATTTACCTGGCTGTATGGACAGTAACATCTACCTGGCTGTATGGGCAGTAACATCTAACGTTTACCTGGCTGTATGGACGGTAACATTTACCTGGCTGTATGGACAGTAACATCTACCTGGCTGTATGGACAGTAACGTCTAACGTTTACCTGGCTGTATGGACGGTAACATTTACCTGGCTGTATGGACAGTAACATCTACCTGGCTGTATGGACAGTAAAGTCTAACATCTACCTGGTTGTATGGACAGTAACGTCTAACATCTACCTGGCTGTATGGACAGTAACGTCTAACGTTTACCTGGCTGTATGGACAGTAACGTCTAACATTTACCTGGCTGTATGGACAGTAACGTCTAACATCTACCTGGCTGTATGGACAGTAACGTCTAACATCTACCTGGCTGCATGGACAGTAAAGTCTAACATCTACCTTGCTGTATGGACAATAATGTCTAACATCTACCTGGCTGTATGGACAGTAACGTCTAACATCTACCTGGCTGTATGGACAGTAACGTCTAACATCTACCTGGCTGTATGGACAGTAACATTTACCAGGCTGAATGGACGGTAACATTTACCTGGCTGTATGGACAGTAACATCTACCTGGCTGTATGGGCAGTAACATCTAACGTTTACCTGGCTGTATGGACGGTAACATTTACCTGGCTGTATGGACAGTAACATCTACCTGGCTGTATGGACAGTAACATCTAACATCTACCTGGCTGTATGGACAGTAACGTCTAACGTTTACCTGGCTGTATGGACAGTAACGTCTAACATCTACCTGGCTGTATGGACAATAACGTCTAACATCTACCTGGCTGTATGGACAGTAACGTCTAACGTTTACCTGGCTGTATGGACAGTAACGTCTAACATCTACCTGGCTGTATGGACAGTAACGTCTAACATCTACCTGGCTGTATGGACAGTAACGTCTAACATCTACCTGGCTGTATGGACAGTAAAGACTAACATCTACCTTGCTGTATGGACAATAACGTCTAACATCTACCTGGCTGTATGGACAGTAACGTCTAACATCTACCTGGCTGTATGGAGAGTAACGTCTAACGTTTACCTGGCTGTATGGACAGTAACATTTACCTGGCTGTATGGACAGTAACATCTACCTGGCTGTATGGACAGTAACATCTACCTGGCTGTATGGACAGTAACGTCTACCTGGCTGTGTGGACAGTAACATCTACCTGGCTGTATGGACAGTAACTCTACCTGGCTGTATGGACAGTAACGTCTACCTGGCTGTATGGACAGTAACATCTACCTGGCTGTATGGACAGTAACATCTACCTGGCTGTATGGACAGTAACATCTACCTGGCTGTATGGACAGTAACATCTACCTGGCTGAATGGACAGTAACGTCTAACGTCTACCTGGCTGTGTGGACAGTAACGTCTAACGTTTACCTGGCTGTATGGACAGTAACGTCTAACATCTACCTGGCTGCATGGACAGTAACGTCTAACGTTTACCTGGCTGTATGGACAGTAACGTCTAACGTTTACCTGGCTGTATGGACAGTAACGTCTAACATCTACCTGGCTGTATGGACAGTAACGTCTAACGTCTACCTGGCTGAATGGACAGTAACGTCTACCTGGCTTGTCCCCTCTCTTCATAGCTCCCTCAACCAACAAAACGAACTTGACCGCATGCAAACCCCAGTCATAGTGGTCCTAAGACAGAGGAAGATTGGAGAAGATAGCACTGGACAGGACACTAGTCTATCTGCTGTTTCTGTAGTGAGGCAGCTTGATGTACCAGTACACCCCCTGGACAGGACACTAGTCTATCTCCTGTTTCTGTAGTGAGGCAGCTTGATGTACCAGTACACCACCTGGACAGGACACTAGTCTATCTCCTGTTTCTGTAGTGAGGCAGCTTGATGTACCAGTACACCCCCTGGACAGGACACTAGTCTATCTCCTGTTTCTGTAGTGAGGCAGCTTGATGTACCAGTACACCACCTGGACAGGACACTAGTCTATCTCCTGTTTCTGTAGTGAGGCAGCTTGATGTACCAGTACACCCCCTGGACAGGACACTAGTCTATCTCCTGTTTCTGTAGTGAGGCAGCTTGATGTACCAGTACACCACCTGGACAGGACACTAGTCTATCTCCTGTTTCTGTAGTGAGACAGCTTGATGTACCAGTACACCCCCTGGACAGGACACTAGTCTATCTCCTGTTTCTGTAGTGAGGCAGCTTGATGTACCAGTACACCACCTGGACAGGACACTAGTCTATCTCCTGTTTCTGTAGTGAGGCAGCTTGATGTACCAGTACACCACCTGGACAGGACACTAGTCTATCTCCTGTTTCTGTAGTGAGGCAGCTTGATGTACCAGTACACCACCTGGACAGGACACTAGTCTATCTCCTGTTTCTGTAGTGAGGCAGCTTGATGTACCAGTACACCCCCTGGACAGGACACTAGTCTATCTCCTGTTTCTGTAGTGAGGCAGCTTGATGTACCAGTACACCCCCTAGAAAGGACACTAGTCTAGCGCAGGGCCTTACCCCCAATCTATCTCCTTAATGCTGAGTGCCAAGCAGAGACGCATCAGGTCCCATTTTTGCAGTCTTTGGTTTGACCCGTAAGGGGATCGAACAGCAAGGTGATGTGTGTGTGTGCATATAATGCAGTGGTAGTCTAGTTACCTGTTTGGAGAGCAGCTCCTTGCAGAGTGTGTACATGGTAATACACTTCTTGGCCAGTAGCTTGGCACGGAGGAAGCCTTCAGCCACCAGCGTGATCTCACAGATCAGTGCAATGCCAGGCACCACCATGGCACGTGGTCCTAGGAGAGGATAATATGGTGAGAGAATGGAGCTAGCTGTACCTGAAGACAGAGTAATATGGTGAGAGAATGGAGCTAGCTGTACCTGAAGACAGAGTAATATGGTGAGAAAATGGAGCTAGCTGTACCTGAAGAGAGAGTAATATGATGAGAGAATGGAGCTAGCTGTACCTGAAGACAGAGTAATATGGTGAGAGAATGGAGCTAGCTGTACCTGAAGACAGAGTAATATGGTGAGAGAATGGAGCTAGCTGTACCTGAAGACAGCGTAATATGGTGAGAGAATGGAGCTAGCTGTACCTGAAGACAGAGTAATATGGTGAGAGAATGGAGCTAGCTGTACCTGAAGAGAGAGTAATATGATGAGAGAATGGAGCTAGCTGTACCTGAAGACAGAGTAATATGGTGAGAGAATGGAGCTAGCTGTACCTGAAGACAGAGTAATATGGTGAGAAAATGGAGCTAGCTGTACCTGAAGAGAGAGTAATATGATGAGAGAATGGAGCTAGCTGTACCTGAAGACAGAGTAATATGGTGAGAGAATGGAGCTAGCTGTACCTGAAGAGAGAGTAATATGATGAGAGAATGGAGCTAGCTGTACCTGAAGACAGAGTAATATGATGAGAGAATGGAGCTAGCTGTACCTGCAGACAGAGTAATATGATGAGAGAATGGAGCTAGCTGTACCTGAAGAGAGCCTTGAGGTTCTCAGGTAGCTCTGTCCTGCCTGCGTAGCCTGGGTTCATGATGATGAAGATCCCTACTGATGACTTTAACACAATCTCCTCTTCCAGGAACAAGAACCTGGTGCAAGGTTGAGGGATTGTCAGTTGTGTCTGATGATAACTTATATATAACATGTTGTTCCAGTTGTGATCTGAATCAGAAAACTGTATTGCCATGCAACAGTAGTTGTTGTATGGAATTTCTCTTGGTGTTGTACACAGAACGTTAAGAAACATCCACATCAACAATCAATCCAGATTTGTAATGTTGTGTGCAAATCAAGGAACCAGGGTCATGTTCAACAGGGTAAACCGTATCAAAACGTTTTGCAACAGAAAAATGAAAAATCTGTCTTCTTATTGGACAAGTTTGGCTAGTACATTGCCATTTAAATACATATTCTCCTTACTGAATACGACCCTGTGTTCACATTATAAAAACGGTCCCCACCTCTTCCTCTTGGCAGTCTGAATTGGTTTTGACCTGCACAGCCACCACTGACAGGACCTCCACAGAGATACGGTTGAATTAATCAAAGCAGCCCCAGTCAGGCTCCAGTCAGGGCCAGGTCCTTATAGATGTTCCCTATAGACTGGACATGACAGGGGATGACATCATTATAAACACCACCTGGGTGTTATACAACACGCACAATGAACTATTCAAGTGCAGAGGGAGAAATAATGTACATCAATGAATATGAAAATGCAATATTGTGGTGTTGGTGACTGGTGCTATTACAACTGAAAAACAAGTTAAGTCAACAACAACAAAAAAGTCTAACAAATGTGGCCATGTTCTAACCTTCTAGTTCTTCTGTTCAGAGCAGTTGAAGACGTATAAACCATGACGCCCAGGGCCCGGCCCAGATCCTTGGTGGTCTCAGTCTTCCCAGTGCCCGGCCCAGATCCTTGGTGGTCTCAGTCTTCCCAGGGCCCGGCCCAGATCCTTGGTGGTCTCAGTCTTCCCAGGGCCCGGCCCAGGTCCTTGGTGGTCTCAGTCTTCCCAGGGCCCGGCCCAGGTCCTTGGTGGTCTCAGTCTTCCCAGGGCCCGGCCCAGGTCCTTGGTGGTCTCAGTCTTCCCAGGGCCCGGCCCAGGTCCTTGGTGGTCTCAGTCTTCCCAGGGCCCGGCCCAGGTCCTTGGTGGTCTCAGTCTTCCCAGGGCCCGGCCCAGGTCCTTGGTGGTCTCAGTCTTCCCAGGGCCCGGCCCAGGTCCTTGGTGGTCTCAGTCTTCCCAGTGCCAGCAGGGCCTGCCGGGGCCCCACTCTTAGTCAGGTGGAGAGACTGGGTCAGAGGGATGTAGCACCTACACATGGCCACAACAACAACAACAACTACATCACACACTGAGAACAACAAAGTCGTCATTTATCACAGCTCTCTATCCCTGACTACTGAATAATGATATTCTTTAGGACAGAAAATAAAAGTACAGTGAGATAATATTTAGTATCCTAATCAGCTTTTATTTTGTATTTTAATCAGCACTGATAGCAACACAGTTGTTAACATGAAATAAACCTAATGACAAGATGATGACCAGACGAGGGGTGTTCCCCAGGTATTCGTAGGAGCAGAGGAACTGAGCACCACAGATGTTTGCCAGCCTCTCTGCTGCTCGTCCCAGCGATGCCTCAGCTGAGACAGCCAGTAGAAAGCCTGCCCGTTGGTCACCTGTAAAAACATTATCCAGAGGCAGGTGGAAGGGGGAGAAAGTAAGGAACCTGTCTGTCGGCCCTGCATTAAAGACCAACATTCGTTAAAGAAAATTGTGATGAATAAAAAAGTATACCAGTTTAATTTAAGGACCAAAAAATTGACAGCTGTGCCATATAGATTGCATAATACACTGCTCAAAAAAATTAAGGGAACACTTAAACAACACAATGTAACTCCAAGTCAATCACACTTCTGTGAAATCAAACTGTCCACTTAGGAAGCAACACTGATTGACAATAAATTTCACATGCTGTTGTGCAAATGGAATAGACAACAGGTGGAAATTATAGGCAATTAGCAAGACACCCCCAATAAAGGACTGGTTTTGCAGGTGGTGACCACAGACCACTTCTCAGTTCCTATGCTTCCTGGCTGATGTTTTGGTCACTTTTCAATGCTGGCGGTGCTTTCACTCTAGTGGTAGCATGAGACTGTGTCTACAACCCACACAAGTGGCTCAGGTAGTGCAGCTCATCCAGGATGGCACATCAATGCGAGCTGTGGCAAGAAGGTTTGCTGTGTCTGTCAGCGTAGTGTCCAGAGCATGGAGGCGCTACCAGGAGACAGGCCAGTACATCAGGAGACGTGGAGGAGGCCGTAGGAGGGCAACAACCCAGCAGCAGGACTGCTACCTCCGCCTTTGCAAGATGACCTCCAGCAGGCCACAAATGTGCATGTGTCTGCTCAAACGGTCAGAAACAGACTCCATGAGGGTGGTATGAGGGCCCGACATCCACAGGTGGGGGTTGTGCTTACAGCCCAACACCGTGCAGGACGTTTGGCATTTGCCAGAGAACACCAAGATTGGCAAATTCGCCACTGGCGCCATGTGCTCTTCACAGATGAAAGCAGGTTCACACTGAGCACGTGACAGACGTGACAGAGTCTGGAGACGCCGTGGAGAACGTTCTGCTGCCTGCAACATCCTCCAGCATGACTGGTTTGGCGGTGGGTCAGTCAAGGTGTGGGGTGGCATTTCTTTGGGGGGCCGCACAGCCCTCCATGTGCTCGACAGAGGTAGCCTGACTGCCATTAGGTACCGAGATGAGATCCTCAGACCCCTTGTGAGACCATATGCTGGTGCGGTTGGCCCTGGGTTCCTCCTAATGCAAGACAATGCTAGACCTCATGTGGCTGGAGTGTGTCAGCAGTTCCTGCAAGAGGAAGGCATTGATGCTATGGACTGGCCCGCCCGTTCCCCAGACCTGAATCCAATTGAGCACATCTGTGACATCATGTCTCGCTCCATCCACCAACGCCACGTTGCGCCACAGACTGTCCAGGAGTTGGCGGATGCTTTAGTCCAGGTCTGGGAGGAGATCCCTCAGGAGACCATCCGCCACCTCATCAGGAGCATGCCCAGGCGTTGTAGGGAGGTCATACAGGCATGTGGAGGCCACACACACTACTGAGCCTCATTTTGACTTGTTTTAAGGACATTACATCAAAGTTGGATCAGCCTGTAGTGTGGTTTTCCACTTTAATTTTGAGGGTGACTCCAAATCCAGACCTCCATGGGTTGATAAATTTGATTTCCATTGATCATTTTTTGTGTGATTTTGTTGTCAGCACATTCAACTATGTAAAGAAAAAAGTATTTAATAAGATTATTTCATTCATTCAGATCTAGGATGTGTTATTTTAGTGTTCCCTAAAATAAATAAAAATTGAGCAGTGTAGTTGGGAAGAGATTTTCGATGTACCGATTCCATGGCACACGGTTTATGAACTGATACACAAAACGACGCTGGATTCAAAACTTAGAGTTTTCCAATTTAAATTATTATACAAAATTCTTGCAATCAATAGAATATATATATATATACAGTATGGGGGATACAACCATCTCAGCTCTGCAGATTTTGAATCATTTATTTTGGTACTGTCCATATCTAGCTTGTTTTTGGTCGAAGGTTCAAGAATTGAAGAATTGCAACATTTACCTGGAGCTAACTCTGCAAATAGTACTGCTGGGTGATTTGAAAAGTTACAGTCAATTGATCAATAATATAATAATACTCCTAGCAAAAAGGTTTATCTTTAATTTACAATCTGTAGAAACTATGAGAATAGAAAGGTTCAGAACTTTTGCGAAACAGCACAGTTGAAAAATATATGGCAAATAGAAATCAAAAATGGATGGTCTTCAGAGATAAATGGGAGGGGTTGAGGGTAGCTGAAGGATGGGACTAAAAACAAACAAAAGATGACTATTGTAAAATATACTGTGTCCGTAAAATGTATATAGTATGTATAAGCTGGAAATAGAAGCCTAAGTGTTGTTGTCCATTAGTTTACTCCAATTAGGGGAGGGGTGGTAGGGTTAGGGGAACACAATAAAGGAAAATATATAAAAAAATAAAATAAAACCACACCAGACAGAGCACTAAACATGGATAGATGTTTAGATTTACAGGTATATTCACGAAGGCTCTCAGAGTAGGAGTGAACTGAAAGGCTAAACTGATCCTAGATTAGCACTCCTACTCTTAGATCCTTTATTAATGCGGGGCGTTGAGTGGCGACAGGTATGATGGTACTTAGTCACGCTTTATGAATACATGCCCAGATGTCTACAGTGAGAAGTCGAGTCAGAAGTGAAAGAGGACGTATCATGAACCTTCTGAGTGATGAGCTTGGACACTACGTCTCTGACGTGGACGTCTATGGTGCAGATGGTCATGATCTTCTGTCTCCCAACAGCATGGTGATCAACGAGTTGAGCTGAGAAACCTGCACCAGAACAAGCCTGAGTGACGAACATACAGTACAGCTTACTTTGGGCCGGTTTCCTGGACACTGAATAAGACGAGTCCTGGACTAAAAAGCTATTTCAACATTATTTTTAGTCCATGACATGGCTTGATCTCTGTCTGGGAAACCAGCCATTTGTGTATAATACAGGAGAGGCCAACCCTCCGGCTAGAGAGCTTCTGGATATGCAGGTTTTGCTCCAACCAAGTTGTACCACAGCTGATAGTACTAATAGAATCAGATGGGCTGCATAAGCACTGGGAAAGCCTGCAGAATGGTAGCTCTTCGGGAGGAGGGAGGGACACCCCTGGTCTAATATGTACCTACAGTAATTATGTCACCTTATGTTCCAGGTTTAACTAGCTCTGTAGGCTACTGTAGTCATTTGGTAATGGCTTTAATAGGAACTAAAGAATCCCGTCCTCATCAGGGAGTACACCGCTTTCACAAAGGAATGTCATTTTACCTCTGGAGTAGAATACCGCTAAAATACACCTCATTCATCAAAGTGTTTGACTTGAAGGGTGAGTGAGTCTCTGTGTGTGTGTGTGTGTGTGTGTGTGTGTGTGTGTGTGTGTGTGTGTGTGTGTGTGTGTGTGTGTGTGTGTGTAATGTACTGTATGCATGCATCTATGTGTCTATAGACAGTGTATGTGAAGAGGGACAGCAGCTTGCATTTATCACCAGTCTAGCATGACAGGAGATCTAATCAGCAGTGGGTCTGTAGGTTGAAGGGGAGCAGGGGTTGCATCCCAAATGGCACCCTATCCCCTTAGACCAGAGCCTTATGGAAGCCCTGGTAAAAAGTAGTGCACTATACAGGAAATAGGGTGCCATTTGGGACGCAGACAGGGAGATAATTCAAACAGCCCAAGGACGTGCTAACCTTAACTATGTACTGCTGATGACAGTGACAACACTGATAATAGAGCAACTCTCTGTGAGCCTCCCTCCGCCTGCCAACGCGGCTCTACAGACACATCGTCTGAGTCCCAAATGGCACCCTATTCCCTATATACACACTACTGCACTACTTTTGACCAGAGCCATATGAGGCCCTATAGTCATAGTGAATAGGGTGTCGTTTGGGGCTCAGACATCGACAGCTCAGCAGCTCTCTATGAAGGGAGATAATAAATCAGGTGTCCATGTTTCTGACTGACAGCTACATTCAACACCTCCACCTGTCCCTCTCCCTGTCCCCACCTCCATTACAGGTGCATAGACTGATGGAGTATAGAATACCTCTGGGAGGTAATAATGGAATGGAAAGGTATGATAACTACTGGGTCTGTGTCTCCTAGCAGAGGAAGATCGAGGCCTACACTTTCACCATTTCAAATTTGACAGCCATGGTTAATGCACCTGTACATTCTTTGTTGTGCTCTAACAAAAATGTTTTGTGTTGACAATATTGGATCTTAATCAAAAGGATCCTGCATGGAGCCACAAGTCACCTGTTTCTTGTTGAGCGCTGACTTAAACCCCTCCTCCAGCCTCTGAAACACCATCCACACGTTGTCCACCAGATCTGAGAGCCAGTGCAGGCTACTTGGGCTGAATTGAGGGCAGAGAATGTCAGTTATCCTTGTGTAAATATTGCACAACTATTTCTCATGATCAAAGCAAAGGAAAATAAGAATCTTGTGGTACCTGTTTGGGATGGCTGCCCTTGGAGAGGATCTCCAGTAAGTCTGTTAATGAGACAAAGTAGTAAACACCAGGCTCTTGGTCTCCAGGTACTCAGCGCCAGGAAACACCAGTCTCTTGGTCTCCGGGTACTCAGCTAGTGCTTTCTCACACAGAGCCAGTCTGGAACAGAGAACAAGTACATCCTACAGGGAACTCTTCAGACTAATCTTTAAACTCGATTTAATGGATAGAGTACAGTATGTCAAACTCCTACGAAAAACATTTATATCTTCAAAGTGATTGGCCAGGTGAACCTTTTCTGTAGATCCTCTAGTTTCTCAAACAGATGGGGTTGGTTGGTGGCCTCAATGATGTTCTTTGTTTTGGCGCTGTCCAACATCAACTCCTGCACAGAGTATAATATACTGTAGGGTACTGTAATTTATTAAATACACAGAGTATTGTATACTGTAGGGTACTGTAGTTTATTAAATACACAGATTACTGTATACTGTAGGGTACTGTAATTTATTAAATGCACAGAGTATTGTATACTGTAGGGTACTGTAGTTTATTAAATACACAGAGTATTGTATACTGTAGGGTACTGTAGTTTATTAAATACACAGAGTATTGTATACTGTAGGGTACTGTAGTTTATTAAATACACAGAGTACTGTATACTGTAGGGTACTACAGTTTATTGTGATAGTCATATTTCATCAAAGACCACTGAATTCAATCTCTATATATTTAGAGGGAGTAGGGTTGCAAGATTTCAGTAACTTTCAGTAACGTTCTTCCAGAAATCCTGGTTGGAAGATTCCTGGAATCAGGAGGGAATAAGGAGGGATCCGGAACACTCCAACCAGGATTTCCGGTAAACTTGGGAATTTTGGGAAAGTTACCGGAATTGTGCAACCCTAATACAGTGGAAGTAACTAAGGGAGGACCGGGAAGTCTGTGTCAATGTCCTGGAACCTGAGTGCGTCGTGGGGCAGATGGTGGCTAACGTCCTCTGACCCAATGAAGATGCTCTCCAGGTGGGCCCAGGTCCTCTGGACCTCCAGCCAGACCAGCAGCACAGAGTCAGCCACCGTCAGCCGGCCCTGCAGACCTGACACCTGCACACGTGCTTACTCTGGGAAATCTCTTAGGAACAAGACAAGGCCGTGGAGATGGTTTGGGGGTAAGTATACCAGGATTGAAAAGCATAGAGAAAAATTGGAATTAGAATTTCCATTTACTTCCTGAATTGACATGGATGACAGGACCTTAATGGTTTGAGACAAAGTTAAGTGGCATGACAATAACCGACACAAGCCTTCAAAAAATATATTTTAGGTTGTCTCTTGTACAATTTCATGTGGAATGTTTTTAGGTATTATAACAAAGAGAAGAGGTATTATAACAAAGAGAAGAGGTATTATAACACAGAGAAGAGGTATTATAACAAAGAGAATAGGTATTATAACAAAGAGAAGAGGTATTATAACAAAGAGAAGAGGTATTATAACAAAGTGAAGAGGTATTATAACAAAGAGAAGAGGTATTATAACACAGAGAAGAGGTATTATAACAAAGAGAAGAGGCATTATAACAAAGTGAAGAGGTATTATAACAAAGAGAAGAGGTATTATAACACAGAGAAGAGGTATTATGACAAAGAGAAGAGGTATTATAACAAAGAGAAGAGGTATTATAACAAAGAGAAGAGGTATTATAACAAAGAGAAGAGGTATTATAACAAAGAGAAGAGGCATTATAACAAAGAGAATAGGTATTGTAACAAAGAGAAGAGGTATTATAACAAAGTGAAGAGGTATTATAACAAAGAGAAGAGGTATTATAACAAAGAGAAGAGGTATTATAACAAAGAGAAGAGGTATTATAACAAAGAGAAGAGGTATTATAACAAAGAGAAGAGGTATTATAACAAAGAGAAGAGGCATTATAACAAAGAGAATAGGTATTATAACAAAGAGAATAGGTATTTTAACAAAGATAAGAGGTTTTATAACAAAGAGAAGAGGTATTATAACAAAGAGAAGAGGTATTAAAACAAAGAGAAGAGGTATTATAACAAAGTGAAGAGGTATTATAACAAAGAGAAGAGGTATTATAACAAAGAGAAGAGGTATTATAACACAGAGAAGAGGTATTATAACAAAGAGAAGAGGTATTATAACAAAGAGAAGAGGTATTATAACACAGAGAAGAGGTATTATAACAAAGAGAAGAGGTATTATAACAAAGAGAAGAGGTATTATAACAAAGAGAAGAGGTATTATAACAAAGTGAAGAGGTATTATAACAAAGAGAAGAGGTATTATAACAAAGAGAAGAGGTATTATAACACAGAGAAGAGGTATTATAACAAAGAGAAGAGGTATTATAACAAAGAGAAGAGGTATTATAACACAGAGAAGAGGTATTATAACAAAGAGAAGAGGTATTATAACAAAGAGAAGAGGTATTATAACACAGAGAAGAGGTATTATAACAAGGTAAAGAGGCCCGTGTGTGGGACGTGTATCGTGGGTTAGATCTCTATGTGAAGAACCTGTTGACGTCACTGAGGGCTGTCAGCGAGCTGCAGAACCAGGCCATACGGGAACGCCGCTGGGTTCAACTCATCACCAAGGTGACGGAGGGAACTAGCACAGATCTGACAAGAGATTCAATGAATAGGGATGCGTCCCAAATGGCACCCTCTTTCCAATCGCTTTATAGTGCACTCCTTTTGACCAGGATCCATAGGGGTCTGGTCAAAAGTAGTACACTATAAATGGAATAGGGTGCCATTTGGGACGCAGTTTAGATCCATGCATCTCAATAGATCAATCCATTCAGGTATGAAAAAAAATTATGTATGCACTCACTAACTGTAAGTCGCTCTGGATAAGAGCGTCTGCTAAATGACTAAAATGTAACATGCCGTAAAAATGATGGCTGGATGAATGACATTTCTATGGGTAATTTCTTCTTTTTCTGGGGTGCTTTGTCGTTGAGCATTTTCCCTGTTGAGCATGTCCAGGTAGTGGTGTGGGTCTTTTAAATGTTTAACATTTTGGTCCTTTAACAGATGCTCTTGTCACATAGGGCATAACGACAGAATATACTGCAGAAGAGATGGGGAGGGTGATGGTGTGTGTGTGGAAGCGTTAGCTAGGTAGAAGATGACGTCACCTTGACAAACCTCCTGAGCTCTGCGTCCACGTTTATCTCCCTCCACTTGGCCATTGTCCAGTCCTCCACACTGCACTGCATAGATAAATATACACAAGTGAATGAATG